TTATAGTTTTGTTCCTGTTAGCCATCCTGGCTAAAGTGATATACTACTAGACTTTGTAGTTTTAATTTTGCTAATGCTATTTTTCAATAAAAGAAGAAGCTTGCTAAGAACTGCCTGCGTGTTGGTGATTACAGGGCAGACTGCCTTGCCTTATGGACTGTTTCCTGTACATCCATCATCATTAAAATTTTCAACAATTTTATGTGTGTGTGTGTGAGAGAGAATACATTTTTGGTGATGATTGATTGAACGCTACTCACTTGACAGCAATGGAAACTATCAACCACACTCAGCAAATGTTTTCATGTTGTCTGTACAACTCATTTTACACATGGAATCAGAGTAGGAAGGGACCACAAGGGCCATCCAATCCAAATCCCTGTCATGCAGGAAGACATGATCAAAACACTCCTCACAGAATAGGCAATAAAATAGAACAGAATTGCATGTCAAGTAGTAGAATATAGGCAATAAACCATTCCCTTCTGCCCCAACTTCTTTGCCTTCCTCCTTCCTATTTCTTCTCTCTTTCTTTCTCATTCATCCAGCCACTCTGTCCATTGTCTGTTCCCACTCCTTCTTTCTTTTCCCCCCTCCAACTTTGGCTACTGCAGCCTAGATCTTAGGTTGCTCTCCCATCAGTTTCTGCTTCCATTTGCATTTATGTATGGTGCATTCAGATAGCTGCTGGTGCTAACATTTGATCAATGAAAAGGCTACAGCAAGCCCATCGGGCTGGAAAATGATAAAACAGTGGGAAGGACTGGGTTCCAGGACCCCCCTGAACATAGGTTTACTGTTGTTCCCGAGCTGACAACTGAGAAATGCTGTGCTATATTGATGCTAATGCTGTTTTACTTTTGCTAGAAATGGGACCTTCCATAAAATGCTGCTCAGTATCATAGTCAAGAGGGATAGTCAATATCAGAGTCAATAGGGATCACAGTATCATAATATCATAGTCAATAGGGATGCAATGGAGTGGTTAAGACTCTGACTCTGTTGATTGCAAGATCGGCAGGTTGGCAGTTTGAGGCCCGGGTGCTGCATGATGGGGTGAGCTCCCGTCACTAGTCCCAGCTTCTGCCAACCTACCAGTTCAAAAGCATGCAAATACAAGTAGATAAATAGGTACCACTTCGGTGGGAATGTAAACAGCAGTCTGTGCAATCATGCGGGCCACATGATTACAGAGTAGTCTCTGGAAATGCTGGCTCTTTGGCTTAGTAATGGAGATGAGCACCGCCCCCTATAGTCAGACACAACTTGACAACCTTACCTTACTATCATAGTCAATCAGCCACAATCTCATCTAAGACAATCCATTCCTTCTCTTTCTTTTGATTTACATTTTGTCTCACAACAGATAATTCAGCATTCTATGGCTACTGAACGTGTTCTGTACCTACTGAGCTGTCTTGGAACTGTTGTTCTACACCCCCCTTTTTAGGCTTTAATCCCTCATTTTTGGCACTTCCCAGTGTGGTCTAGTGGTTTAAATGTTGGACTAGGAGTCTGGGATACCAGAATTTGAATCCATGCCCAGTCATATGGAAACCCACTTGCTGACCTTGGACAAGTCATACTCTCTTAGCCTTAAAATAATGCAGTGGCAAACCTCTTCTGAATAAATCTTGCCATGAAAATCCTAGGATATGAGTTGACTTGAAGGCATAGAAAACTTTGGGAGTTCCTCAAAAGCATGTTGATACATTTCTTACTTTCCCAGTTTTTGCTACATAGCTACAGTTGGCACTTAGTCCCCTAATTTGCTATTAGAAAATGTGTTCCTTTTTCATCCTTATTAGTTAATTCAGATTTGTTTAAATGATGACCTGAATCCTACTGGCTAAACCCAACAAGAGTAGGCCTATTCAATTGCTGAATGATGAGTTAACATAGAAGTACATTCCATTGATTCTGTGGGTCTACCCTAGTTGGGACTATTGAATAGGATTAAGCCATTGCTCAGATTCATTTAACCCAAACAGAGAATGTTAGCTCCAAAATCACCAAACAACTACTCTGGTGACATTTTGCTGGGGGGTGGGTAGCATATGAGTTGTTTTAAGAGCCATGGAATTTGCTTTTGAAAGGGGGCATAAACAGAGAATGTTAGGTTGATTTAAAAAACTAGGAAGTGGTCCAAGTCTACGAGAAGTTATGCTACAACTTCTTTTGCTCAATTAGTCTCAAAGTGCTAAAAGATCCCTTTGTATACTGATATTCCAGACTAACACAGCTAGGTATCTGTATTTGAAATCTAATATTCAATATTTCTTTGGTTTGGGAGCTGGGGGAAAGGAGTTTATAATCACTGAAAATTCACAGACACCATCAGTCACAAGAATTAAGCCATATCTCATACATTTTGTAGAAACAGCCAGTGTGGCTCACAAGGCGAACACATACAGCAAACTGCCCTGATATTGAGCTGTGTGTGTTGTACACAAAGGTGCCTGCTTGCTATCCCTTTGTTCACCTACAGTTCTCAAATTGCATATATTGATTGCTTTCTTCTAGGAAAGTACAAAGAAAAATAATCATCTCTGTCTGACATCAATCACGGACAACTCAGCAAATAGCTCCAAAATCACCAAACAACTACTCTGGTGACATTTTGCTGGGGGGCGGGTAGCATATGAGTTGTTTTAAGAGCCATGGAATTTGCTTTTGAAAGGGGGCACTGGTTAAAAAGACAGCATCATTGTGAACCATGTTCAGTAGCGTTTGTGCGGAAGACAATCAGGGACTGCAACATCTTAGCACCTTCCATTTTGGTTCTCCCCCCCCCAGCAAACTAATTCCAATTGTTAGTCCCAACTTAAAGTAAACCCATTGGATCTATGTAAACTTCAGAAGTCGCCACTTCCATCAGTTCCACTGATTAAATGGGTTTACACTAGCTGAGGCTGCATCTGCACTGCAGAAATAATCCAGTTTGATATTATTTTAACTGTCATGGCTCAATGCTGTGGAATTCTGGGAACTGTAGTTTGTTGTGGCACCACAGATCTCACAGATGGAGAAGGCTAAATCTTTCACAAAACTCTTGGAATCCCCCACAGAGCCACTGGTTTCCCTATACCTGGCATGCTTTCTAGCAACTATAGTCCAAAAAAGTGAAATTTAAAAGCTCTGTGATTTCTAGCTTCTCATACCAATTGCTGAAAGAGCAGTGGTGGACTAGGGGTGCATCCATACTGCATGATTATAGCAATTTGACCCTAGTTTAATTGCCATGGTTCCATCCTATGGCATTCTAGGATCTGTAGTCTGGTGAAGAATTTAGCACTCTTTAGTGCCCTTTCTTGAGCTACATTGTTAAAATGCATTGTTAAAGAATTCAAAGGCTGCTCCACATTGTGGAAGTAAAACAGTTTGATATCACTTTAACTTCCATGGCTCAAATTCTGGGACTTGTAGTTTGGTGGGACACCAGAATACTCAGACAGGGAAGGCTACATATCTCACAAAACTACAAATCCCAGGATTCTATAGCACTGAGCCATACAAGTGAAAGTGGTACCAAACTGCTTTATTTCTGCAGTATAGTATATCAGAAAACTACAAATCCCAGGATTTAATACCATGCAGCCAAGATAACTACAGTGGTATGAAAATTAACAATAGTTATGCCTTTGGTTGACTCTTAATCTGATCCAGGAAAGAGCTTTGTATATTCTTATAATTAAGGCTGCCAAAATAGATGCATATGCAAACCTCACTGAATACTCCTGGATTTCTTTGTAATAAAGTCAGGTCTAGGGATGGTCTGCAAATAATTCAGTTATGAACCATTAAGGATTTAAAAACGTCGGGGGAAAGCATGCTTTATCTTTAGAAAAGAGGTGGGCAGTTATCACCCTCTTTTTAACTGAAACTCCCCTGATATCCCATTACTGGTTAGGATTGCTGGTTAGGACTGCTGGGGGTTGCAGTCTGGAGGATCATAGCTGCCCGACCATTTTAGAACATCAGTGTTTGATTCACAACTTGTGGGTTATCTCCCATACTTGGTGTATTTGTTGTGTGCCTTCAAGTAATTTCCAACTTATGGAGTCCCTAAAGCAACTGAATCACAGGGTTTTCTTGGTAAGATTT